CAGACTACATGCGAAACTGAAAGACAAATTTCCATAGTCAGAAATGTGCTCATAATGGACAATAGACTGTAATTTTACCTTGTCAGACTCTACAATGGTACCCTATATTGATTGCAGTCTCCATCTTGTCTCCCGTCAAAACCCAAATTTTTATTCCAGCTCGTGCAAGTTTGTCGATACATTCAGGAACCTGTCATCCACAGAGCAAATGTCAGTTCTAAAACTTAATAACTCCTGAAAGGCAGTTCTTTTCTCCACAACGAAACACACAACATGATGTGACAATAGAACCAGCATAGAATGTAGTATCGTGTTTTCTTACGACACATCAAAAGTCGCATGTGAGAGAGAGAGGGAGAGAGAGAGCAATCAACCACCACAGTCAAACAAAGACAATTCTTATCCTGAAACGCGTAGTCCAAGCAAGAGTTGATGCAATATACTAACGAATCTGAAGCTAATTATGGTTTTCTTGTACCCCAATTTGCAGTTTGTCTTCAACAGCTGTTGCACCAAGCAGTATCAAATCCTTCTCAATTGTTTCTGCTACAGCTTCAGCTAATTTCTCCTGATCTGCAATTATCATGTTTTTGGCTTCTGTAAACTCCTCATTAAACCTCTGGTATTCACCCTCTTCAAGTTGGCGATATGCAAGTACCATGGTTCTCAAACCAGCATTAGCATACTCATTAATGTGTAACCTTGTATGCTCTTCAAACTCCCTTCCATTAGATGCCAGTCTTTGAAACATGATGCTGCAAGCAAAACATCTAACTGTTCTAACCAGTGCATTGGAACTTAAACATAAAGACTGAGATTTAATTCTAAAGGATACACCAATAACAAGTCTGAATGCCATTTACGATGGTAGCTTGAACAAATTATGAAGTACTAAAAGTTCTGTAGCTCTAAACCCTAGATGTCTCTTGTCCTACAAGCTACTACTATGGGGAAAGGAGCTGAAATTTTACTGGAACATATGCAAATGATGATGTAGAGCACATGTAAGGGAGAAGAGCAAACAGAATTTACAGATAATGAAAATGGAGTCTCAACTCAATAAAATGAAAAATATAGCTAATCTTAATCAGCAACTAAATGAAAACAAGTTAAAATGAAAGCGAAAATTTATTTTAGACTGCAGATATTGTGCCATCTCGCTAACCTGTCAGCACCTTTACAAAGCAGAAGCAGGTTCCCTTCCTCGTCTCTTATAATCACAGACATCCTCTTTCTTGAGCTACTGAACTCGATAACTTTTAGAAGTTCAAAAATTCTGCAAGAAAAGTGGAAACCTCTTTAGAATAAACACAACATCCTTTATATCTAATTCATCCCAAAAAAAGAGAAATTTTAAGCAAACAAACATAGTGCAAGAGAATAAATTAAATGAGCTGATGGAAGAGAGACAAATTAAGCCAGAAATCTAAAAACCATGAAGATTTATCTTAGTCTTAATAAGAGACCTTTTAACCTTCTTGCCAGTTATTGGATCTAACTCATTGATTGAGATGCTTGCTTGAGACCTCTCGCAAAACTCAAATCCAACTTCTCTGGCTGCAACTACAAAAGCTGCCTCATCTGGTGATTCAGCTTCATATGTCACTGTTCCATTTTCTTCATTCACATCAGGTATTGCTGTATGGCAGATGGCCAATAACCGAAAGAATTTCAAGATAACATCTGAATAAGGCTCATTAACCCAGCGGCCATTCGTGATCCTTTCATCCTTAAAATTAAAACCTTTTACAAGTGGGTTAGTTTCAGTGTAGAATTCATGAAAATCTTCATCTGACTTCTCCTGAGCCAAAGATGATGTTTTTTTCCTGGCCAAAGCCCTTTCTACCTCAGTGACTCCATACCCATAGGATGTTCCTGCAATAGAACACTTAACAAAATCCATGGAGTTGCAAGTCAACGTTCCTGTTTTATCTGAAAGTATAGTGTCAACTTGGCCAAGTTCCTCATTCAAATTAGAGGTACGTGCATGTGCTGGTTTGTCACCTTCTTCATAATACATGTGCAAATCTTTGTTGATGAGACAGCTCTGAAGAACTTTTACAATCTCTACTGAAACATACAATGATATGGGGATCAAGTAACTATACAACAAAAGGGCAGTAAAGAATTGCAGTGTTGCAGCAATAGGTGCTCTCTTTGGATTATAGTATATTGTGGTCTCATCTGGTCTAAGATACCATCTTTTCATCCTGCCATGTTGCAGGTCTTCTCTTGTTGCAATTCCAAAGACCACTGACCCAGTAAAAGACATAAGAACTAAAACAGCGAATAACAAGTAGACAAGCTTATCTGTTTGCTTTTCAATCTTGCTCCTTTTGGATGGGGGTGTTACAGAGTTCTGGACAACCTTTGTATCATGGCCAGTGAAGATAACAACTCCATAGATGTAATCAGTGTTCTTTAGCTTTGAATCTCTTAGAAGCAATTGATTAAGTGTAAGAGGATATCGTTGTCCTGCAACATCCAAATTTCCAACAAAAGAATATAAATTTGCATTAGGATCTTCACATCTTATTATCCCCCTAAAGTCCTTGAATGCTGAGTCTTCATTTAAATATGAGGTTGCTTGTAATGCTTGCTTTAGCTTCAAATTTGTTTCTCCATCCAGGTTTGTTGTCTCAACGTAGCAAATTGGATCTTCATAACTTGATGAAAGCAAAACAAGATCAGCAGGAAAGAATTCATCCTTCTCCACTTTCACTACATCTCCAACTCTCAAATCCATCCACTTGACGTATTGAAAACTTCCATGACTGCTGTACACTTTAACTAACCTGTTGTTTACTTCAATATCCTGGTATTATTCCCAAATCTTTATTACACACTGGGTGAAAAAGAAAACATGAAATACAGACTAAACAAATCAAAACAAATTACAGATCAGCAATCTTTAAGCAATTTAACAACAGAAGAAGACAGCAAGGGAAAGTTCAAGACTTGCAAGAGGACGAGACAAATGTGGGCATAAAAACTTTGGAAGTGATAAAATTGTGCAAAGAACATGAGAAAGAATTGTACAGGATGACGAAGTAGGAGCTTTTCTCCCTCCTGAAAGGAAAATGGGAATAAGGGAAAAGAGGAAAACGAAAAGGGAAACAAAAGTCTTCTGTGCACCATCGCTTTAGAATTATTCTAAAATGCTGTATCTGGAGAAGCATTAGCAGAACAGTGCAATAATTGGTTACCTACAACATGTACCTTCTGTTTTTTGAGCTGCCTTCTGATCATATACTATCAATTGCAACAATTTTATCTCATTACAGTGTCCTTACTGAATCCTAATTTGCTACATGGGCTATTATTTTAACACTGATTGCCTATAAAACTTGCAATTCCGAAAGTACAGCGACATGAGAAAGTACTTAGAAGCAAATAGAGTACCCAAAATGACCTAGTACCGAAATCAGACAATTCATATTCAAGTCTGAATAACTGCTAAGATATAACACGGAAAAAAGAAACTAAGCAAATAGGGAACTGCAAATACTGATCTTGTTACCTGCTTTTTCCTTCTCAAGTCTTCAACAAGCTCTTTCACCATAGTGATTCCAACCACAAAAGCAAATGGAACAACAGTAGAAAGAGCAGATGTAGGCGAGAGCGGGGTGAAGGACAAAATTGCAGAGAAAAGAAAAAACATATTTGCAACTCTTCTGAACTGCTCGAACAATGCTCTTGGCAGAAATGTTACAGCAGTGTACTTGGTAGTTCTGACATAGTTGCTTCCGTAACTTAATGGAACTGCTTCAGGCCTTCCAGGATCATTGCAAAAAACTAATCTTGAAAAGCCTGGCCCTCCAATTAGAGAGTGCTCTAAAGATTCTTGCCTGGATAGATTACTGATTCTACTGAAACTCTGCTTTTTTCTTTTGGCAGCAGTCATCTTCAGCAACTATGAGCTTGTTATGCCAAATTCAGAATATAACTCTTGTAGAGTGATCAAATTTTCACTTCTCAGAAGTGAACATGCTATCTTGCAGAAAAATTGAAGTGTCCTGATGAAAATAGACAAATGGTAACAGATAAAACTACGAATTAGATTCCAAGAAAGTCAGTTTCTTGGAAAGAATAGAGAAGCAAATGGGAATTCTTGCATTGTCTTTAATCATCATAGCATTGAATATTTTGACCAAAATAATGTACCTAGAGCCTCATCAAGTTTAGTAACAGTATTTCCGTTCACTAAAAATTTACCAGCTCAGATTGGTAAATTCATCTACGTAAACGACGTGATTTGGATGGCCAGAACTTTCTCATGTTTACAGACGGGTGCCTAACATGAACATTCTACGCTCAGATAGATGGATACAGTAGCATCATTGTCGCAAGACTTTTGACTTGTAGATAGGAAACTGCACAAAACCTACCAAAAGTCCACATGGGATTTTCCATCCAAACCCATATGAGAAAATTGAATTAAAAATACACTCTTGTTAACAGAGACAAGAATCACTACAAAATGAACATATGTCATGACCCAATAGTGTATTATTTATTTAGTAACTTACAGGTCCAAACACTAGGACACGGGCAAAGGACAATCTTTTGTCCTTTGTAGCGAAACAAAAAGAAAAAGGGAGCAATAACGGGATTGGCGCGACACATTTACACGTGAATATTCTGGACCGCTTTGCATATCCCTTCTCTACGAGCCAGTGGCTGTGGTAGTTGAAAATTGAAAGAGAATTTGATTGATAGCAGTCTTCACCGACTGTGGGTATTGAATTTGAAAGTCGGGGCGGGGGGCTGGTTGACAGATTGTTGATAGTCAGTCCTCTCTGACCATTAGATGCTGCACTTGATGCTCTCCTCAGCCACCGTTCAAGAAAAGAGCTAGAGAATAATAGTAGTAGTATTGTCTGCTTTTCTGATTTTACGAGACTAGTGGCTCTAACATGAAGTATTATTACTGTGTTTTCTCCTACAATAAGCATTAATCATACCTTGCTAATTAAAAACTGAGACATGATCAACAGGTCGAGTGGAAGCAGAAAAATTATTAGATGAAAGTGTACGTTTGAGTGTCGCACTAAACTACCGAGACATGTAGACACATAAAACATTGGAGTTTCAAACAGCTTCACGGCGCCTCCCCAAAATAAGCCCCATTAAATTCTGCCTCCCGGCAACACCAATTGTATGTTATTTTCGAACTAGTCCCAAGCAATACAATCACGGGGAAGAAAGAAACTAATCAGAGCTCAATTTCTGAAAAAATATACGTTGGAATTGAGGTGGAGAAAGGGACGAACTTTCCTTAATCCTTGTGTCGACGTCTGTTCTTGGCTCTTCCATGTTCTTTTCGAGAACCATAACGAGAATCTCTCTGTGTCTCTGGAGAATCTCTGTGTCTATGTTTACGGTGCTTCGAATGTCTTTGGCTGCTGCTCTTTTCCTGAGATGATCTCTTCTTTTTCCCTTCAGACCTTGAATAATGTCGAGAACCATCAGATGAATCAGATGTTTCACTACCCGAGTTTCTACTTCTATGTCGATGACGGCTACGTTTTCTGCTCCTCTCATCTTCTGAGGAGCCACTGCTCCAATTTCGGGCCCGACGTGTGGGACTCTTAGTCTTCCTCTCCTCTTTCTTTACATTTTCAGATGCGTCTTTCCTGCCACTTTTCTCAGGAATGCCAGCCTCAGTCTTTCTACTGCCATTTGTTTGCGCGCTGCCAGTAGTATTTTGTTTGTCATTAGAAGCTCGTGCCACTTCTGCAGTCATGAAACTTCCAGTAACAGCATACCCCACAGAGGATCTATTACTGCCAACTCCAGCTGTATCCTTTTCTTCCCTGTCAACAATTATAACTTCCTTGCTCGAAGCTGTTCCACACTCTCTATTTTCTGTGTAAGGCAGATCTGGGGGAACCTCTAGGCCTAGCTCTTTACCTAATGATTCTAGGAAGTCACCAGCTATCAGACGATTTAGAGTTTTATTTACAACTTCAACATTCTTTTGTGGATCCTCTGCTTGGATGGGATTGCTATCATCCTCATCATCATCCTCATCATCAGAAAATATGGCCTACACAAATAGGATTTTGGAAACAAATTAAAGAACTATCCGCTCATGGCAGAAATAAATCCCAAGAATTATTGAAACATATTCAAAAAAAGAGTTCAGACTAGTGTGATTATTGTTGTTATTGATAGGAAAGACAGATGAGACTTCAATCCAAGGACTTCAACCAGACGATTAACCATCATTTCTTTGTTTCCACATAACATGACAATCCTAATGTGCTTTCACCACCTAGGAGAAAGTCAAAATGAAAGATGAGAATACCTTGTAAAGATCAACAGGCTTCTCAACATTTTCAACATTAACCTCAACCTTGATTTCCTCATCAACAATTTCCCTCCCTTTCTCCTCGCTGCCCACCTTGGAGAGTGATGATTGGTCATTACCTAACATCACATTTTCTTCCACTTTCGCAGCAACAACAGGATCTGGCATAAAGATCAGTGTATCCATTTTGCTCCTTGGTCGTGGAGCTGGAGGTGGCTGCAGACGGTAATTTAAACAAGACATTATTAGCTTTTAAGACAAATATCACAAGATAAAAGACACAACAGGCACTAACAAAGATAAAAGAAAGTACAAGCTTTAAAAAAAATGACCAAGCAATACAGATAAGGTTAACTGCATTCAAGAAGAAATTTCACATTGTTTTATGCCGAAACACCCAAACCAATAAATTAAGTATAGGAACTTTTCAAACCTTTACTTTAGCTTTACATGATTTTCGGTTTCAATCCCCCAATAACATCACTAAAACTTTCTATCTTGTTCTCATTCAATTTAATATGTCATGACTATGTCTAGCCTTTTCCCAAAAAAACTTGCAAATTATCTGGCCACAGTTGGTGCTTATATCAAGTATTAATGTGCACAGCCAAACCATTTATCTTAAGACAAAAATACAACAAATACAATCCTCAAAAAACAAACATGTAGAGTGCGGCTAAAATTCAGTTACAGGTGTAACAAAAAGTTAAAAGATCAGTCAGATGAAAAAGATGTAAAACCTAATGCACTGACTTAATAAAATCAAAGTTGTTGTACTCTTTTAGCCACTCCAATGATCAACACAAACTAGATGACGGGTGAAATCAATTTGGATATACCTTCACCAGCAAACAACTCGAAAGAAGTTATATAAACGGCAATTAAGGCTCTCAATGAATGCATTTCCCATAACTACTACAAGTAAAGAATTTACAGGTTATTATGAACCCTAAAGAATAGCAAAAGGCAACAACATACACCTTGAACAACAGTAGTAAAAAAAAAAAAGCAGAAAACCTAAAAACCAAAAAAAGCCAAGAAAAAGAAAAGTACCTTGCCCATATAAGGATCAATTAAATCAAAGCGCTTGCACAGAATAGGGGAAGGCCGCCACTGAAACTCCTCCCGTCTTGGATATCTTTTTTCTTTTATCAATTCTTCTTTACTAGCTTTAGCTTGCTGCAGAAAATACTGAAGTTAATGAGTCAATCCTGAAACAGCAAGGTTTTAATATAAACAAATTCCTTACCACATACCTCTGGTTCACCAGATGTAAACTGCAGCCCTGCTGTAGGTAGTACACCTGCAAACAACTGACTAGGGGTATTAATTTCTTTTCCCTGTTTACCTTTCTCGATAGCTTCAGCTGCAGCCTCAAACTCTAATCTCTCACGAGCACGAGCAGCTTCTGACATCTGACTTGACCCACCAACATCCATAGAGCGTAGTCCTCCACGGTACTTCTCTTTCAAAAACTGTTCAAACCTTGCTTGCTTTGCAGGGTCATCTTGGAAAGGTTTCACAACTTCTGGATCTTCACCCTAGATTCAAGATGCAAAATAAGTAAAGACCTTTTAGTTTTTTCAGGGAAACAAAATCTAATGTAATGCAAAATAGCATGTGGTTAAGGCTGGAATGAGTAGAAGGCCTACACTTAAAACAAGAAAAAAAAAATATTCCTAGTGAAACTGGAAACAAATAATTGAGAGACTCACAAATGAAACTGGTTTCGTGAATGTATCTGCAAGATTGAATTGTAGATTAACGGTATCAGTAGAGGCAGCAGTCACAGCTGTATCTTCAAGGCTTCTTTCAAGAGGCTTTTCCCCTAAAATTTTGCCACGGTTCTCAGCTGTCATCTTCTTAACATTTTGAAAAATTTTCCCATCCAATTGCCACTTTTTGCCATCATTGTGCTTCTGCCTTTCCTCCCAGAGCTTCCTTGTATAATAATCCTGACCATTTCCTCCAAACAGAAAAGCAAATAATGGGTTTGACTGATTCTTTTGCCTAGAGAGGTCCTCAAATAATTTGCCACAGCGAGCTACTAAAGTTGCCATTCCATCAATCATGAGCTTGAGATTATTATCGTCTGGAGGAGGAACTTCAGGGGGAGTTTCCTCAGTGATTTTGTTGCCAACATCTAGTGGAGCAGTAAACTTATGATGGGGGACAAAATCCTTAGGAATAACTGGAGGACCAAATCTGTTAAACATTAAAATAGAAGTCATACAGAAGCCCTACCCCAAGATAAAAGAATTAAGTAGCAGGAAGATAAAAAAAAATGGCCAAGAAATTCAGCTTTCTTCAGCCAAATTAAATAAATGGCATATAGGATAATATGGAAAAAGATCTAACAAAAATTGACAACAAGTAATTATAGAAACAAAATCTATCTCATACTAAGACAAGAAAATATATCAGTAGTAAAAAGATCCTCTTAAAATGATGGGGCCAGGTGTGCAGGCAACAACTTTCGATGGATGATTGATGAAATTTATCCATGGCAGACATAAAGCATCTGGCATGTGCTAATGCAGCAGCAAATGGGAACTAGTAGTTCTTCAATTACACATGCAGACAGATAAACGCATTTCAAAATTCTTGTAAACAGAAAATAAAGCACACATCACTATAACTAATATAACTAAGACATAAATGGCTCAGTTTTGACCAACTCAACCATTCAATAAATGGCCTGGCTAATTGGTAAGTTTCATCATTAGCAAAGCTCTTAAGAATTTTCTCGTCAGCAGAAAACTAAACATTACAATAGTAAGCATTATTCCAGAAGCAAACCTTCTAAGAATACCTTTCTAACTGGTAGTCTGAATTTGAGGCAGCCTTAAAACCTGGCAAGAGTCCATCTTCCTTATTACGCAACAATTTTATATTCTCATTCATTGGTTTAGAAGGCTCTTCAGTTTCTTCAACATAAGATTCTTCAAAGTCATAACCTGATACAGAAAGTTAGTGAGAAAGAGCAGCCTTTAAGCTGCAAGTCAAAAGATGATCTTAATAAGACAAAAGGTTTATAACAGTGCAGTAAATGATTTTCTTTCAAACATAGTGGCACGCTCTCTCCTATCCCCTTTGTCATTCTTTCTTTAGCACTACTGCCACAAAATACATCCAGCTTAGTCAGAGAGTGAGCAGGGAGTGTAAGGAACTCTTCACCTAGATGAAGGATTCATTTCCTTATCTTGTTTGTGAACAGGAACTAAAGCAAGGAGGACAGGACAGAGAAACTTAGATAACGTAGACAAAATCAACAACTTGCATTTTTACACATAATCCTTTAGGCACTGTTTGGACTGAAAGAAAGGGAAGCAAGGGAAAGGAAAGGACTCTGGTGGAAAAGAAAGGAAAGGACAGTAAAGGAAAGTGGATTTGAACCATCTTGTTTGGATTAAATATGAAGGAAAAAGAAAGGAAACATGAAAAATATTGTTTGGCTTAGGGAAGGAAAGGAAATTATGGCGCATTAGTTATGTTTTTATCCACAATGTTAAAGTCTAATTTGTAAAAACATAGGTTTTTTAGGAAATTTTAGAATTTCTATTGATCTTGATTTCCTTTCCTTCCATTTCCACCCACTTTTGGATGGAAATTAAGTTGACCAAAAATAACTAGACCTTATCCCTCCCTTCCCCTCCCTATCCTTTCCTTTCCCACCTTAAAAACCAATCCAACCTTCAAAAACCTTATCCCTCCATTTACTTTCCTTTCCCTCCTATTCCCTCAAAACAAACAATGCCTCACTGACTTGATTTTAACTTTGAACTTTAGTATTTTATTCTGTTTCCTGAACCTTTTAACTTGATATAGAAGGCGATAAAAAGAAGAGGGTTTACTTGTCCCACCATTTTTTTACTGTCTTTCGATCACTTCACCAAACAGAGGGAAAAGATTCTGCAATTACACTTCTACTTCTCTAGCTCCATTCTTCTACTTTCAAATCAATCACCATCATGTAAATCTCTTATACATCTGTGCAAGTATACAGGCTTGATCAACCAAACCTGGCACAGTGACTAAAACTATTACTCCAATATTTTCTTGGCAATCCCCTTAAAATGAAACCACAACCACCAAATATTTGTGGAGGAAGTAATGCATGCAATCTTAATTAGACATTATTTAAACATCAGGGGTCAGATATCAAAACTAAAACAAAATTTTTTGGAAAAATAAAAAGAAAAATAAAAAGAAAAAGAAAGAACACAACAAAGTTGCCACCAATAAAACCATCTAGAATTTCAGATATCTGAGTTCTCCATTAAGAAGAGTTTATGCAAGGAAGCCAAAAAAAAACCCAATATTTGACTGCCGATAGGAACAGAAATTAAAAAAAATGTTAAAAACACATATTCTCAACATCACATGCACAAAGGCATACACCCGTAGAGATGCAAGAAAACACTATCTAAAGCAGGTCTCTGGAGGATATGCAGATAAAGTGAAAATGCAAGCAAAATTGCAGGGACCAACCTGAGGCATATACATCTTCATCTTCAGCATCATAATCCTCAAGAGCACCAATGCCAAAACCCGGTGCAACCCTTCCTGCTGATAAATTCGTAGTACCAAGTTAAACAACCAAACTAGAGTGATTGTGTGTGTGTGTGTGTGTGTGTGGGCGAGAGGGGAAGAAAGAGTGAGGGAGAGAGAGGGAGAACAATGTATCCTATTGAAGATGGAGTATAAAATTAGAGATAAAAAATAAATTGCAGATATGTCATATGAAAATACTTGCATAACATTACATTTGAAACCAAACAGACTATCACCCACTGGAAAAGGCTTCCGATGCAATGTCTCCTTGGTCCCCAACATCCGTGATCTTTTCCTTTCTGAATTTCAGGTAGAAAAGCAGAAACACAGTGACTATCAGTTAAATTCAAGTTAACAAAAAAGTTAGCCATTTCAACAAAATACGTACCCCTAAATTCAGGAGCATGCTTGAAAGGATCATAACCTAAACCATGTGAGTCCTGTTTTGGATTGAGAACATACACCTGGATAAAGAGACAACAGACTCACATGAATCGATGATTCTACAGATAATTCTGAATTCAGAAAAATCACCTCAAGAACAGATAATTCTCAATCCAGAAAAATCACCTCAGGAGGGAAAATCACCTCAAGATGGAACAGTTGGAAAGATACATTTAGACCACGAAATAATCCGATTAGATCACGAAATAAAAATGCATCAAATAAGATACAAGATGTAGAACGCTATACAAGAAATCATCTTCCCCATCACCATCTGAGCCAAAGAAGTGACAGGAACAAAGTTCTCCTCTAAACCCCCTCTTCCCCACATTTTTTAAGCAATTAACAGAACCATCATATTCATGATAAAAAAGATAACTGAGCCCGAAAGTGTGTTATGTAACTGGGTAGTCCAACAAGCAAATAGCTTATGAGGAGAATTCCTACAAACAATATGCGTCAATTAGCAATAATTTTTGTTTCTTCATACTTGAGGCGCACAATGTTAAAAGTTGTGTCATCCTAGTCTTTGCTTCTCAATGATCAAAGCAGCAAAAGACCGAGACAACCTTCACTTGGCAAAGAACAAATCCAGATTTTTCTTTGTTGCTAATTCAGCTTTGAAGCTTTTCATGAACCTGACTGTTTCTTGGAGAAATAATTTAGTTATTCCTTCTACAAATGTCTAAATGACGAATAAGATACTTTAAGACCAACATTATATTTTTCTGAGACTTTGCAGCTTGAATAAACTACATGAACTTCAATTGCTGTTGCAGAAAATAGACAATTTGACTCAAAAGTCAAAGCATCATAAACAAAAGGTACTGAAACAAAATCAATATATCAGCAAATTAGAAGTCCAATTACTAGCAGAAAACATTTCTGTATTTGATTCACAGCATAAGCATGGCAACAGACTTACTGGTGTACTTCTGGAAAAAACGGTACCATCGTCAGCTGATGGATCTGTAACATCCTCAACGTCATTGTCAACCAGTTCAGAACTTGCACTCTTTCCAGCTGTATCGCCAGCTGAAAGTGCAAGAAAGGCTTTCCTAGCTTCTCTACGAAGATCTGCATTGAAGGCCAAAAAGTTTCTGAATCATTAAAAACTACGACAAATTCCATTCTTCAACAATTATTCAGCTTAAACTCCATTTAGTCTGAAAGAATGTCTAAAGATACTGGCCTAATTTTATTAGCTCTAAGCATAGCACACGCTGTTTAGGAGCTACTCTTATATTTACAAATAGTTGCAATTAAAATTCATGTCTATTAATTTTTCTTTATTATCAAGCACAAGTAAAATTGAGGGGATGCTTTCACCACAATAGAAAAAGAAATGAAAACTACGATCTTGCCCAGAAATAATTCAACCAAAGATGCAAATAAAAAAATTAATAATAATAATGGACAATGCTAGAAAGAATTAAAGTAAAGAACTGTGAATGCTTCATATTTGAGACTGTTTCTATGACAACTTTAGTTAATTGCAAATAGAAGCAAGACCTCTCCCCAAGATTTTTACAAAATAAAAATCCTCACCCACATTTTTGGATAACTTAGAACAGAAAAAACACTTCCAGATTACAATGTCAATTATTACACTAATGCAACATCATCTGAATTTGCCTGCAGAAGGCATACCATAAAGAGAATTAGCACTTGATTCCTTTATTGAACGACCACGCCTCCATCCCATCTTCAATAGTAATTTGATCCCTGATCAACACAGTTTGCCCTTAATAAAAGACAGTAAATTAATCAAAATGAGTAAACACTTCATTGCATCTACAAGTCAAACTTACCAATTGATTCTGAGGCTGGAACTAATACTTCATCAGGAACGGGTCCAGGAATAGCCGAGGGCCTGAAAAACACCAATCAGAATTCCAAGGAAAAGGTAGCATTAACAGCTTCGTTATCGACAAATCATTACTATGCATGACAGTTCTGGATACACAACAGTCTATACTTTAAGCTTATAACAACACTTTAAGTCTAGTTCTGGGTTTTTTTAGGTTTTAAATAAGATCCAAACATTAATACCAGCTACTAAGTTTTTCAACAAATTGCAAGTAAAAGGGATGATTTTGCACAGCCTATAAATATATGTATGCTATAAGAACTTCAAACAAACCTCTTCTCTTGTTCCTTCTCAGCTTGTTTCCGAGCAAGTTCTGCTGCAGTGAACCCAAATGTATCAAACTGCATAGACGTCCCCAGGGAGCGACCCTCCAATTCCTATAAATATACAAATTAATTTCTTTTAAACCAAAAAAAGGAAACCAACCACAACTTCATTAGAAGGCACTTGCAGGTATCAATTAAAGTTTCACACTGAAGTTCCACAGACGTTGGTAAATATCCAATCTACATGTTCGAAATAGCAAAATAATGCAAAATTAATATCACAACCTCTAGCCCATTTATCTCTTAAGGTAACCATTAAACAGAAGAGTCTGGAAACAAGGAAAAAATCAATGATTTTTATGCCCTTTGGATGAGTCCGTGACGTATCCCTTCCTTCTTATCTAGCCCTTACGAAATTCATAAGAAAGAGCAAAAAATGGACAAAGATATGAAAATATTTGAGAAAATTCTTCTGTTGCAATAGCAACATCTGTAGCTGTAAGAAGTATTAACATCAATAGAAATTTTATTGTTTCTCTTTTCAATTTTTGAATTTACATTGTAGATTTTCACAGCGAGAATCTGCCACTTTGGTGCATTTGGTTCCAAAAAATCCATCACTTCTTTAAAAGTGAAACAGTCCCTTGAAAAGTTAGATTCTTTTATCTTGAACAAGCATTCGTCTAGATTACTAATTGATGTAGAAGTGTTTTCATTGTTGGCCTCCACAGACCCTATGTTAAGTGTCACACACATGACCTACGAAGATACACTTCTAGTCAGGAAAAAAAATTTAGGAATTTCAAGAAGTTATATAATTTAGTTAACTAACAATTATTTTTGAAAACTGATAATAAAGATCAAATAGGTGAAGGAAGTAAAGGAAAAAAATAAAGAAAAAGAAAAAACTCTGCATCATAGAAATATGCTATTAACAAGATATATCCTAACATAAAATCAAAAGTGGAGCCAAACCACAAGCAGGAAACCATAAACGAAAAGACATTTCAGAATTCTTGACCGGCAGAACTATAAGGAAATAAGAAGATGCTTTGTTTCTGAATGCATCTCAATAATAGTCCATAAATATCAACAAAAGAATGTAGCCTGTTATCCATATTACATGACAATTAAATTGAGACCCAAAACATAAATAACACAGAGTACAACCTAAAATGATTCCTTATCTACTGCATACATTTTCCAAGGTGAAGAACACATCACAGACATAATCGGTATCTACTGCATACATTTTCCAAGGTGATGACATATTACAGACATACTCAGACTTTATTCTATGAATTCAAAGATAAATGAGCAACAGTCATACATCTTTTTCATCCTCATCCAAAAAGTCCTGAACACTTTGTTGCTTAAATTCAGCTCTGCTCTTCCGAGAAGATGTGAAAGACTGTGGAGTCCATCCTGCAATTTTTCTTAGACAGCTCAATGTATAGTCCAATAAAGGAATTTAATTGTTAACCATCTACAATAATTACCAAGAAAATCGTACCCTCTTTAGAGCCAACTGTATTATAATAACCAGCCGAAAATCCACCAGTAAATGCCCCATGAAACCTCCTCCTCCCTTCTTCATCTCTAACCTGAAAAAAAAAATTCCATATTGGCCAAGACTATTTAGATTCCATCTACCAACACAGATTACTAAAACAGATTATTAAACAAGAGTGCAAATGCAAATCAGTTCATGCGATCCCTCAGAAGAAAATGCAACTTAAAAGCAAAAAAGAATTTAAAATTAATCAAACTGCCAACGACCAAAAATGACATTACAGAGAAGCAAATTTCAGCAACCAACTAGCTTACAAGACTAATAACACATATTCATTTTTCAGGTGGTATCAGTCAAGGATATTAATAAGTTTATTACTTAATAAAACTTCAAATTTAGCTCAAATTTGTCAACGCATACCAATTGCAAACCTAAAAATTGATTAAACAACTTCTGAAAAACAACAAAAACAAAACTTATAAGTAAAATTACCTCTTGCTTCCAGGGGACGGCGGTTCGTAACTGACCAGAGGCTTCAGCGACAGCCTTCTTCTTACGAGAGGTGATTTCTTCTTCGCGTTCTATTGGTGTTCCGTAGAACACGAAATCTTCTTCATCGCTGTCCATATTTTCTGAATAGAATTATCAATTATGAGTTAATGTGATCAACGTGACCCTAATTCTGCTTGATTGTTATACTACTTGTGCAGGAAGAAGTATTGATTCGAGAATGATGAAGAAGAGGAAGAAGCAGCAGCAGCAGAAGCTCCCATTGAAGACGTGCAATATGATGATTTAATGGGCACGACTTCTTTGCTTTTCGCTGATCAAATATTAAAGACCAAAAGCGTGCTTAGCGGCAAATCATGGGCTTCATTCCCTATGTGGGATGTGGCCCAGGCAGGCCTTGGGCTTTAGAACTTGAACAGCTCTGAGGGGTTGTCAATCCCCTTACCAATTTTACTAAAATATTTGCTTCTGAGTCAACATTAAGCAAACAATTTTCGAGAAAAAATTGTGTTAATGTTCTTTTTTTATTTATTTAATAGAATTTTATGTAATGCTACTCAAAGTGTAAAATTTGAGACGCGCAATATCTAGTCCTAAAATCTGATTTGTAATCTTTTTCTTATATTTGCACACATACGAGAATCTAATAAAAATACAACTAATATTAAAAAGCGTTTATTAAAGTTTTTTTTATATCCCTTTCATTACTCTCTACTTTTTGCATCAATTTTGTTCAAAAAATTTTGAAGATAGCTAGGGATGGGAATGGAATGGGTACAGTTAACCTTAGGTGCAATTGGTACAGTTATTGTATTCTTTTCATAATTTTGCGTACACTCACGTACCTTTTTATTATATATCATGAAATACGACAAAGTTACGTAAATGTACATTGAATTATTAAAAAAATACAATAATCGTACCTAATGCCAATTGTACCTACCCCAAATCCACTAGGGGCATAGACCATATTCATCATTCTTGGTTTTATTTTCAAAAAAGAATTTTTAATACAAAAAATAAAAAGAAACCAGAGCACAAAGAATGTGGAAGTTAACGAATCTACCATTAACCTTTCAGCCGAATTCCAAAGCCCAAAATGCACACAGATCACAGCCCAACAAAGAGACTGAGTTCCTGACGGGTCGCACTCCGCAACAATCCAAATCCATCCCCCAGGCTCCTCACGTAACACTCTCCCTGTCTCATTGGCGAATTCCAATTCCGATCCAACTGTTTTTTCTTCCTCTCGTGCCTCGAGACGGAAACTATATAAACACCGCCCCATAAGTTTAATCGCCACCTCATCCACTCTCCACCCCGCACGTACTCATCACGGACCAATCACGAACCTTTCCAATTTGGGTCCCACAGTGGATCGTCCCCACGCCCTCTCTAGCGCGTGGGAGTGTCCAAATCCAACGCGCTTTCGAGAAGAATTGTTGCCCTAGTCGCCTGCGCTTCTTCTCTTTCTCTCTCTATAATCATCGACAACCACCATGAATATGAACACCAACGACCGCCTCCGCCTCCGATCGCCTACTTCTGTAGCTTTTCATAATCTTCCAATCGGTTGATTATAAACCGACCGATCTATCCCTCTCTCCTCTCTGTTTCCTCCGATTCGCGATTGTATCTGCTGGTGAGTGTACTTTTTCTGAATTTTGCCTTCTTCGAGCTTTAGATCTCTATCTTCGCTTTTATTTAATATTAATGTATCTGATATTTGCTGTGAAGTTGATGACTTGTGATTTCATTTTATTTTGAAGGCCAATAATGGAACCGATGGACATAGTTGGGCGAACAAAAGAAGACGCTTCTCTTCCTAAAGGTTCGATTTGATCCCTATCTCATTACTGTTCCTGTATGAATATGCAGATTTTTTTTTTTTTTTGCAAATTTTTGTTTCTAGTCCCTTATCGGGTCTATATGCTTTTGAGCTGCTATTCTTGTTAAAAGGGACTTTTTTTCTGTCAATTTTTGTTAGATTTTGGATTTTAGGTGGTTAATGTCTGGCATGCTATTTAGATGATTCTAGGGTTCCAGCCATTTGGCCAGTTTTTTAATAAAGCAATTATGTAAATATATGATGAGCAATTTCAAAAGCCAAAGCAAAAAGAGAAAAGAGAAATTTTTTACGTGAACTGGATTCTTTTCTGGTTGGAAGGGGCTTCTTTTTTCTGTGAATTTTTGTTGGATTTTGGAGTTTTAGGTGTTTGGATGTTGGGCATGCTTTATATTCGATTCTAGGGTTCCAGCCGGTTGGCCAATTTTATTTTTTTAATAAAGCAATTATGTTAAATATAGTGATTTATGTTTACACTTGGTGATGAGGAAGGTCAAAGGCCAAAGCAAAACAAAAAAAAAAAAAGAGGAGAAATTTTTTTATGTGAACTGGGTTCGTTTCTGGTTAATTGATTTGGGACATTGATGCCAGTTTTTCCCCTCATTATTGTGTGAAATTGTGTGTTCATTCTTTTAACATTTTTTTTGTGCATTTGCATGTGAAACTTCAATTGACTATTTGCTGATTGATATGCTTTCCTGCAGCCACTATGACAAAAATTATTAAAGAGATGCTGCCTCCAGATGTTCGTGTCGCAAGAGATGCACAGGATCTTTTGATTGAATGCTGTGTAGGTATGTAGTGACAGATGCTTTTTAGTTTCATTTGTATATGATCCATTGGCATCATCCCCGATATATCTGTGATCGTGAGGGCATTGATCATTTCTTATTGGATCATTTTAGGAATTAAACCGGTTACTTTCAGTGGTTGTTAATTCTTTTATTCAACTAATCTTCTAACTTGTAAGAATAAGACTTTCCTTTTTGTCATATCACCTTCTTTTTCATTGCAGTCTACATGTATAGTAAATAAGCGTGCAAAATCTGAATATAAAATGCTAACTTAAAATTGACGTGCAAAGGAGAATACAAAGTGATCTTTTGGTAAACAAACTTGGACTTTTAATTTGAAGCTTGGGAACTGGAAGTATTAGTTTGATAAAGAGCCAGATTTAAGGACAGAGTTCACTTGAGAGGATGGAACAGAATGTGATGTTGGATTTAATGTTCCTGTCTCTTGTGCAATTGTGGGATAATTTAATCTATGCTTGATTGAAGTTTTCTGCCCTATCAGACATCTCTTGGAAGTTTCTGTTTGTTTGATGTTGAATCTCAAGTCTTAAATCTACTTTGGGCAAAGTTAAGATTCATGAGTTTTCTTTTTTGGTTCTAATGTTTGATCGGTTCTTTTTTATTGCAGAGTTCATTAATCTTATTTCATCAGAGTCGAATGAAGTTTGCAGCAAAGAAGAGAAAAGAACGATTGCCCCTGAACATGTTTTGAAGGCTTTAGAGGTTTGTACTTTGAGCCTAAACTGTTCTTAAGTTTTTCTTTTGTATAAGTATCTTTCAATCTGTGTTTTTTGTCTGGCAGTATTTATTATTTCTGTAAATAGAGTTTCAGTCTTGGGCTGATTCAGCTTATGAGATCAATCCCAATCTCAGTTTTGACCCAAAATTGACTACATTTTTTTGAGAAGGATGAATCTTGTAATCATGCTAATTTATATGTGGCAGGTTCTTGGTTTTGGGGATTACATCGAAGAAGTTCATGCTGCTTATGAACAACACAGAAATGAGACTATGGTGAGTATTCATCTCCCTTTTACTTCTGTCCTGGTTTCAACAGCATAGATGCTATGTTTTGAATCTAGTTAACTGACTTAAGGGGCCGTCTGAAAGTTTCCGTTTATTAGCTCTGTTATAATGCCTAGAATTGTCAAAATGGGGAGAATTCTGGGAGGCTGTTACATTTTAATTCCAAAATTGTTGTTTTACAAGTATCTAACTGCAGTGAATTGTGGTTCCTGCATGTTGCGATAGTCAAAATTTTGATTTCAATCAAATCCATGGAAACAGTCTCAGATATCCTCTATAATGTTGTTCTGACGCCTTACAATTTGGATTTGGAATATATTTTAAGTCATATTTGTTTGATTGAACATTTCATTTATTTCAATCTCTCTTTCTTTCCCAAAACAAAATCTGGTGCTTGGAATCAAGTTTAAACTTGATGAGCACTTAAAGGGAAATCAACTGTCTTGAGTATTTTTGTCAGATCGCCTGAAATTGTTTTCTGACAGGATACTGTAAGAGCTGGGAAGTGGAGCAATGGAGCTGAAATGACTGAAGAAGAAGCATTGGCTGAGCAACAGAGGATGTTTGCCGAGGCACGTGCTAGAATGAATGGTGGTGCCATTGTTCCTCCTACAGTCCCCAAGCAACCGGACTCAGAACCTGAGCCCAGTTTGAATAGCTAACTTGTAGGACCTCCATTATAACGAACCTGTAGGCAAGCATCTGGACTGGTTAATTAGTGCTTCTCTTTCCTATCTGATGTACAAAAAGCTTTTGGTAGTGGACATTTTATACTGTTCCGAGTTAGAATTGTACCGTACGGATTATGTTTATATACTGTGTAATTACTAATTAGTCAGTTAAAATTTGCCGTCCTGTCTGTGTGTGTGTGTGTTTCATATTTAGCTCAGTTAGTGCAGTCAGGCGGTGTGCTTCTCTTGCTTAGTATCCCATTTAATCCAAGGAGGAGCTTTAGTGAATGAGGATTGAAGTTGCAGCACTGCACCTTTTCCATGGAAAGCCATGGCCTAGTCTGTAGTGGACGACTAGCCATTGGGAAGGATAACGTTATAGTTTACAGTATAAAATGCGCCCTCTGAATTGAGTTGATGAGTTGCTAAATTCTATGGTGGCCAAGTAATCATTTGATCATTCTCCGGAGTGGGTTTTCCAGCTTTACATGGTGCTCCGAGGCCACTAGAATAGGTCCTACTTGGGATGCTTAAAATGGCGGTCTGTGTTACTTGGGAGGATGCTAACTAGTAGTAACTGCGTTTTTTTTTTATTTTTTATTCACCTGGCTATGCTTTCTTTTCCCTTTCCATCTTTTTGTTGTGCTTGTTTTGCATACTTTGAGATGCAATACTTAGGAAGTGCTCTCTCAACTCCTGCACTAAGGCAAGAAACTGGCCATCGGCCACCAAGCTACGCATCAAATTCAGGTTTTCTTTAAGCCGTAAATCAAATGAATCTCTCTTAAGCTTCAGATTCTTTGTTGAACTACGCAATCAAATGGACCCTTTGATATCTTGAATTTATGTTTTCTGCGATTTATCACCTGGTGCATGCGTGTATTTACTTCTGTCGTGTGCAAGCCTAGACATTGATTGAAGGGATCCACTAGAGTGATGATCCCCAGGAAGGTAAAGTTTGTGGT